ATGCAGCATTTAAGTTTGAAGAGAAACATAAATAAACCCATTGTATTATGTTTCAGTATGCAAACATTGGAAAATTCAACACATTTTAAAAAATAGCAGGGTCCATTAAAACCTTAGAAATCTGATAATGGCTCAGACTTTGCTAAATATATCAGTGTGATCAATTAAGCGAGGTAAAAACAATGGGATCAGACCAAATAAAAACCAAAATGAGATTTAAAAAAACAGCAAAACTGCAGTTACTAGTAAACAGGAGCAAATGTAAGCTGCATTGTCTGTTCCTGCATCATATAGGCCTGGTCTAAATATAGGGAAATAAAAAAAAAAGGTCTTAAATGGAGTTACTAAGCCCATTACAGTAGCTGATCTCAGGTGGATCATTTGAGAGGCTGGCAGGTGGAATACATAAGCCAAAACAAATCCACCAGTAATCTGACATCCATACTGGTTGCAGATTATCTGATACATTTTAAAATGTTCCCAGTTGTCATGAATGGTACATGAATGGGCCTAAATTCACTTTATAACACAGGCCCATATAAGTGAATAATAAAAACAAACAATAATTCTTTTTCTCCCTGGCAATTAACGTAATGATTTTCCTCACCTCGCAGCTCAGAAATTATTATATCTTAGACAATTTGATATAGTTATTCAAATTTAAAAATAACAAAGGATTCCATTTAAATTCTACAGATGTAAATGATTCAACTGCACCTCATGGCTGTCCGTGCCTGGTTTAAGCCTGTTTCCCCTTATCACACACCACCGCTACACACCATCGGCCCAGTAACAATAAACAGTAAAGTGTCTCACCTCGACTGGGTCTGCTGAAGTGGGCTGGTACCGGCTCCTATCGGGGAGTGGGAAGCGTCTCTGACGGCGGGAGGCTCACCGGAAGAAGCATCCGAGTCTGCGCCCTCCCGGTCTGCCTTGCATTGGTCCTCATACATCCGCAGCGATGGCATGGTCAGCTGCTTTCTGGATAATAATAATAATAATAATGTTCTTTCTTGCAAATATTGGCATTTGCACACAGGTACTTTATGCACATTTACTTTTTTTAGATATACTGTATACTGGGCACATGTTACTCGATATTGATATTTTTAGATTTCTATACTCATATTTATATATACATATATAAAAGTATATTTATTTTTATATTTATACTTCTGGCCTGAATGTCCCTCGGTATCTATATAATAATAATACTAATGATAATAATACCTAGCGGTTTGGGATATTGCTGTGTTGTAAGACCATGACCTTGCAGAATAAAAACATGGGGACATGGACACACACACACACTGGTGCTGGGTGGCAGGTTCCTACCTTTTTTCCCTCCTTCCATTCCCAGTGTCTCTGAAACCTTTGGCAAAGGGGTTGTTATCAATCTTTAGTTGTGTTATCTGTCGAAAAAGAACAGACTGAATTTCAGAGGCATGGAACCAGACTCAGTTCATTGTCTTCACCTGGCACATATTTAGGGGAACGATGCGTTCGGATTAACACACACAGAAGCTAGCTTGTTGGGCAGGAACCATGATGGGCCTCGGATTTGCATTATTAATAAAAGGCTAATGATGGGGCTTTATTCTCATAGGCCCCCGGAGAGAAATTCTGCCACGAAATATTCCTCTATGGGGCTCCACAAGCCTCCATTCCCCCAGAAAAAAAGGCAAAGGGAGCAATACTTGAACAGATGACTATCATATCAATAATTAATAATGCGGTTTTGATCACTGCTGCTTCACGACATGTCCTGATGTGGAAGATGTCTGTGTGGCTCCACATAGGGCCAGAAAGGGCCTACAGTATGGAGCTTCTAGTCTCCTGGAGGTCCCCAGTGGCCCTCGAATTTATCTGCCCACTGTAGCTGCAGGGTGACCGGCTTTTTGAATGCCTTATAATCGATGGTGACTCTTTGCCATAAACTTTTGCAGCCAGCCCCCCTGGCCTAGACCTTCCTGGAGACAAAAGCTCCAATTAGCTTCGTGAGGAGGATAAAAAATCAGCGGAGGAAAATGTATCAATGCAATGAAATATAGGCCCTACAAATATACAAAAGCTTAATTCAAATATCCCATATTTTAATGTCAAACGTGTTCTTAAATAAAAAAATCCGATAATGTACAAAATAACAAAGAACATGCCGGCTGTGTTTGACGTTGCGTCACAACAGCGCAACAGCCTTTCCAGCATTTATACGTTTAGTGTAGCGTATTCACCATTGAGGCTAAAGCCCAAGAGCAGATGATAACATACACCACACAATATTCTGCCTGCAAATGTGAATTAATGCACAGAAATATCGGCTATGCTCACAAATCCAGGCAAAGCAGCAATTAAAAAAATCAACTAGGCCATGGGAGTCCTCTGCGGGAAATTAGGCGACCTACAAAATCAGATTAGGTCTTCCGGGGTTGGCGTTGGGGGAGGGGACCCATGTAGGACATGTATAATGCAAAGTATGCATATAACGGCCATATTCCAGGTTGGTTGAGTGTGAACAGTGACTCGCCTTGTCGTTCTGATACGCTGTCACAGCCACGAACTCGGTCTCCGGGAACACGTAAGTCCTGAAGGTGCTGTAGGGGAGCTTCAGGATATCGTTGGCCCGCACTATGTGGAACCTGGGCTGGTACTTGTGCATGGAGTTCAGGATGGTCTGGACCAACACACACAAACAAACAACTCTGGAGTACATATCACGACATTTTATGTCTGTCTTTGATATTTTTTCCACATTAAAACCCGGCACCAGGCAGAGTACTTTGAGGTGGATCGTCCAGCCCAGTGTTGTTGATGCTGTTATAATTACTGTGCAAGCCGTCGGGTCTATAATTAGTGCGGAGCAAAGGGAAAAACCTGACCAGGCCACACATGCTGTCATGACGGCTCAGAACCACAGCAAAAATCTGATTTGATCCAGTTTCTACAAATGTCCAATCTGCCTCTCATTTATATCAGATTTACCACAAACAGCCACTTTACAGCCTGTTGTAGCCTGAGCGTCTGACACGCACAGAGCCTTACATGCATTCTGCCATAAATAATATATTTTTACATTAAAAAATGGAAAGTACATCAAACGCTATGAATGTGCACATTACGGATAACGTGAATACTTTACATCTAAAACTTGGCACGTAGGCAGCATATGCATACAGAAAGAAAACCCCGAAAACCTGCTTGTACCGTCAGCACATCCTTCAGACTGAGTGAAGGGCTCCAGTCGGAGGCACACCGTACCTGCCAGCCAGATGGACGTCTTCAGACGTGGATCACTTGCTCCTACACCGGTTATTTTTAGTCGGTGCATATTATTACACTGGTTTAAAAATGATGTAAAAATACGTGGTAAACCATACGCAAAATATTTTGGATTAAACGTGCATAGAAACAGCAGCTACTGGACCTAATTTTATACAAAATAACAACACCAACTATATTCACTTTAATGTAGGCTACAATATTAATACAATGAGACGACTGTTAGGTTCCAAGCTGCAGGGGATGTCACTCATTCAAGCTCACTTCGCGTCATTTCTCTATGACCCGTTTTGAAGATAGGCCACTTAATCCCCCAGCCTTGCAAACTCTCAGCTCAAATATTATGTTGTTCCTTTTTATTCCCAACATAACCTCGGTTAAGAAGAAAGAATAAAAAGAACCGGGGGCCTGCAGGCCTGCTAATATTTTGAAGAACTGCAGGGGAACACAAACTCTGTCACGGTGGGAAGTCAAGTGGCAACAAAGTGTCAACAGCTTTGGACATCAGTAGGCTACAAGACCATGAGCTGCTCATGTTAAACGTATATATTCTGTTTTTAATAATATTTTAAGAAACTCAGTGTATTTCTTTTTTTATATCATTTCAGCAGCAGTTATTTGCTGTTTTTTTTATTTTCAGCTTTGTTTTTTTATTTCTTTGCTGGTACAACGACCCATCTTTCCACAAGCTTCATAAAATTTTTATCTGAACTTACAACACCTAAATGCACCTTTCCTGTGTGTTCCACCTGCAAACACCCCTGCGGGATAAAAACAAGAAATAAATGTCTCTGCACACAGGCTAAAAAAAAAACTAGCTGTACTTACAAATCCGTGTTTGTCTGAGATGTTGTTGGTCAGCTTGAGCTTATGGAAAGCAACAGGCTTGGCCATCCACTGCTCACCGGTGGCCGGGCTGTCTGGGTGGATATACATCCTTTTGGGCATCTCCGGGTCGGCCTTGCCCGCCACCATCCAGCGGGAGTTGTGGAACTTGTAGCGGCAGTCGTCCGCCGCCACGATGTCCATCAGCAGGATGTATTTGGCTTTTTTATCAAGCCCGTTTATTCGCACTTTGAACGGAGGGAACATCCGCCTACAGACAGACACACACAGGGAGTCAACACGCCGCGGTTCACTCAGATTATAATGCAAGACTTGAATAAATCTGATTTTAAAAAGCATTAAAGGCGAAGACAAAAACACGAATTTCTGACAACAGAAAATGTTGTAATTGTGAGATATTATTCCTCGGTTTTGCACGCAATTAGCAAGCTCCACACAAAAATGAACGTGTGTGTGTGCGTGTATGATGTCTCTGTCTGTGTGTGTTGTCCAAACCTATACTACAAAGCTGAGTAGTATATTTATGATCGCACCATTTCACTTTGCTGGTTTTTGAAGTGACACCCTGCTTATAAAAGCCAGAAGCTCTGCTTCTTCAACAGAATGCAGTTTGGGAGATAAAAGCTGAATAATGCTCAGGCCACAACTCCCCCCAAATGCCCCAAATAAGTACTCTGATCACTCTGGAAATATATCGCAAAAATGAACATAAACTGAAGTTTTACTCATTTATTTTACTGTGGATGAACCCAGTTTAAGCCCCAGAACTTACATTGTCATTGGGCTGCAACGCCATTTAAAACAAAAAGGACACAGGCTATTTAGTGTGCAGTGCGAGGTAAACATATTTGGGCAGCATTACATAGACATCTTGCCTTTTTTACGGCAGAACAAGCTAATAATCGCTGGGAAAAGACATACTGACTAGGACACACGGGCTGCCAATTAAATAACGCGAATCAATGGCTTTTAACGGCTCGAAACATGCCAGATCCAGTTCAATCTCTGTACTGTTGTTTTTATTCCAAAGAAAAGAAAAGATTCTCCATAGACAAGAATTATGTGCATGCATTATATGTTATATACGAAAAAATTCTTACCTTCCCGATTTGGTAATAACCATCTCCGTTCCGAGCTTATGAAACTGGTCCCAAAGATCCTTGGCTTCCAGTGTAACTTTGGGGTCGTCGTCCACTTCCTCCTCGGGCTCCAGGCTTTTCATGCTGCGGAGATGAGCCGCCTGATGGTGGCTGAGGGCCGAGTGGAGCCCAGCCTCCGCCGCCCCGGCCAGGCCGTGTCCGGGGACGGGCT